TTAACCAATAATATCAACTTGGCTTAAGATATAACTATTAAAATTACCCTTGACTCCTCACTCTTCTTTGTGTTTCATATATTATGCAACATATTATTTGATTCTAAAATTGTCTCACAAATCTGTCATTTTTTTCTAAAATACACATCATTATTTTTCACACAGTATCACCAACAGCCCAGCCCAATCTTTAAATCACTCTCAGGGGAAGCTCAATGACATTAAGACAAAGTTTAAAACTACTAAATCTCTCAAATGTCATTTCTCTGGTGAATTCTTCAAATCTTCTAATAGTAATCTCTGGTTCCATCTTCTTCCTTCCATCCTTTCCTCACAGATTACATAAATCATTCTATCCTTAGTCTTTTCTTTTTTTTTTTTTTTTTTTTTTTGCCCCTTCTATATTTTGTCCACATTACGATCATCTCCTGTAACACACTATGAAATAATTTACTTGCCTTACTAATTCCCTGGGACCAATTCCTGTGTACTAATTGTTTTGGAATATCAAGTGTTTTTGCTCCATGTGTGATTTACAGTAGACTACTAGAATGCTTAGATAACTAATAGCAGTTTACGAGTGAAATGCTGAAGATTTGAAAACATAGCTAGAAAATTGCTAGGTGTAAAAGGAGAGTGTAAATAAGCCTATTTCAAAACATGAATCCATGTTGGTTTTTATTCAGTTATTGAAAGATTAAGCAGCTAAGATTTATACTGGTATTTAATTTCATGTTTAATTTCGAAAGACATACCTTGGCTTCTATGATAATTTTAAAAACAAATACTACCTTTAAGGCAATTATAGAGGATAAGAAAAACAGCCTCAACATTGATGCAGCATGGGTCGCCCTTCAGCAACTGTATATGGACCCCCCTGACAGTCACTGGAGCCATGATGGATTACACCTTTTGGCATCAATATTGAGCTTCATGCATTACTTTCTTAGGTTCCATGCTTTACATCAAAAAGACAAATGCCAAGACAAATTCAAACTTCATAAAAAAAAAAAAAACAACACTACAGGACATTGAATACCCACCTTCAAGGACTCACAACTCACATACTATATGACATTTATTTTAAAATATTATTTAAATTCAGTACAGCACAAATAATACATTCTTAACTTATATGCAGAAATTATTTATATTCACATAAAAGCATATATGATGTATAGAGAAAGTCTAGAATGCAAATTGTTACTCACTTGGAAAGGATACAAGATGATATCACTATTATCACTGATGATACTAAGTGCATGTCTTTATTGTGTTATTTAAATAGATAACTAAGAATATGTGACTTACAATGTTATGTCAAATATAAACTTTTATTGGAAGGAACAAGGAATATATCTCTAATATTTCATTTACTCTAGCTTCTTGAAAATGTTTTGATATTTATTAATATTATACTACTGGTTGTTCATTAATACTAAATATTAATATTTAGTACTAAATATGTGTCACAATTTTACTAAGTATTTCTTATATTTCATATCAGTTTGGCATAATTGATAGACAAGAATTGATCCTAGTGCATCTTTTAATATAGGTCAAATGTTGTTTTTATCATATTGTGCTATTATGTGGAACAGGAATGTCATAAACATGTGACATGCTGTGAAAACACCACCATTACCCCTAGTGAAATGAGACATTCTAAAGACCTCAATTCTTTTTTTTTTTTTTTCTGGCCCAAAATGTTTTTTTTTTTAACTTTTTTATTGTTGGTTGTTCAAAACATTACATAGTTCTTGATATATCATATTTCACACTTTGATTCAAGTGGGTTATGAACTCCCATTTTTACCCCATATACAGATTGTAGAATCACATCAGTTACACATCCATTGATTTACATATTGCCATACTAGTGTCTGTTGTGTTCTGCTGCCTTTCCTATCCTCTACTATCCCCCCTCCCCTCCCCTCCCCTCCCCTCTTCTCTCTCTACCCCCTCTACTGTCATTCATTTCTCCCCCTTGTATTATTTTTCCCTTTCTCCTCACTTCCTCTTGTATGTACTTTTGTATAACCCTGAGGGTCTCCTTCCATTTCCATGCAATTTCCCTTCTCTCTCCCTTTCCCTCCCACCTCTCATCCCTGTTTAATGTTAATCTTCTTCTCATGCTCTTCGTCCCTACTCTGTTCTTAGTTACTCTCCTTATATCAAAGAAGACATTTGGCATTTGTTTTTTAGGGATTGGCTAGCTTCACTTAGCATAATCTGCTCTAATGCCATCCATTTCCCTGCAAATTCTATGATTTTGTCATTTTTTAATGCAGAGTAATATTCCATTGTGTATAAATGGGAGTTCATAACCAACTTGAATCTAATGTATGAAATATGATATGTCAAGAGCTTTATAATGTTTTGAACAACCAATAAAAAAATTAAAAAAAAAAAAGTAAATGCCACATTTTTTTTATCCATTCGTCTATTGAAGGGCATCTAGGTTGGTTAAGACTTCAATTCTTCACAAGTCCATTTGGGTCACTTCCTGTATTCTCAGCATTGAATTAATTACTTTAGCTCTCTGTTTTCATACTTTGGAGATAAATACATACATATTTTCACATCTTTGAGAGAAAGCAAGAAAGCATGAATTAGACAGATTTTTGCCTTAAAGTAAAAACAAAATTCAGAAAATGCAGGTAACAAATCTATTTAAAGATTTTAGCCCTAGAATTTTTTAATGTTAATAATGGTACTGAATCACACACATGCAACATTTCTAGAGAAAACACAATAAATCGTGTCTTCTGACTTCAGAGATTGCAAGTGAGGAAGAACACTGGGAGTGTATGACTTATTGGTGTAAAAATAACATTGTACTAAATAAGATGGCAATTTGGTAGCTAAAACAGAACTAAAATCCAAGCTCCATATTTTCTCATCATGTATTTTGTTCAGTTATTCTATACTTAATAGGTGCTTTTATTTTGTTGTTGTTCCAATAAATTCACATTGAAATAAATTCAGACACTATTAAACAGTTCTTTGTACAGGCCCTCAGTTCTGCTATTTGTAAAATGATTAAACCGTAAAGATCCTATTCTTCCCTTTGTCCATGTCTACAACATCAATGAAAGTATCCACTATAACTGGGAAGAGAAAATTAATACTGGATAATACATGTGGCCATAAAAAAATTCCTAGAACTCTTGTTTCTGCCTTTAAATGGGTTCTATTTTTTTTTTCACAGACATGGATTTTTCACAATATTCATTTAGTGGTTTAATGAAATATCCATTTACACATCAAATATATTTGAAAATATATAAAGCATTTATACCTTCTCTTTTAATAATCTCTTATATTCTGTCTAGTTCACATTAAATACTGATCTCTTAAAAATGTTCAGGCTCCCCTTCTCCCTTCCTAACCCACGCCTATTTCTCAACATGTTCTCAGCACTGTTCTTAAATACAGCTAAGATCTGAGAATTAGCATGTGTGTGCATACCTCTATAATAAAAGAGCCAACATTTCTTTGCTAACAATACCCTCATCTCATTATATATCTAATGTTAATATGGTCTCAAATCACCCCTACCACCAAAATCCTTGATATTTCTGATCATCAGAAAAACAAGGAAAATGGAGAAAATATCATTACTCCATTACCTTTAAATCTTCAAATTATTTGCTTAAAAATAAGTAAAAACATATATTCTAAGTAGCCAGAATATTTGAAAATATACATTTATTTGTCATAAAGTATATGCATATGTTCACCCAAATATATGTATATATTAGTTCAAATATATATACATATTTATACATGTGTGTAATAATATGTAGGTATATACACACACACATATAATCAGTAAGTATTAAGATTGTGGATACTAAGGAAGTAGTTAAGCTCATTTCTATTCTTCTTATATCCAAATAATAATACAAAATCAAATGATGGAGATATTAAAAAGTAAAATATGGAACTGGGATAGACTAGAAATAAAACTATGATAAACATTTAGCTAAGATCCAGATATTTCAAGCTTAGAACAATTTTAAATAAAATATAACTCACACTTCTCTTATTTTAAAGGTTTAGAAATAAAATAAATTCTAGCTCTTAAACGTCAGAGATGGCCTTAGACTCTTGTTTCTCTCCTGAGCTCACTCCATCACCAAAGCTTGGTTCATTTTGCCACACTTCCTCTTTTTGAAGGAGAAAAAGAACCTTGTAAAATTTCACTAAGATTTAAAGATGATTTAATCTTTCAAGTAAGTACATATAAATATGGATTATTCTTAAAGTACTGAAATGTCAATATCCTTTATAAAATCTATCCCAAAAGGCAGGTTTTGACAGTTCAGATAAATAACTGGCAAATGTAAAAATGAGTATGATGTCATGTGATGCCAGGAACATTAAATTTATTTATTTCACACTGTAAAACTTAATTTTCTTCACGATAAACTTATGGCTAAGGAAATGCACTAAAGATATAAGTATACCTACCATAGAGTAAAAACAAGTCTTATTGTTAAAGCAGACTAACCTCTTCCTTCAAAAAAAGAATCACTTCTTACTATAACCAGTAAGTACCACAAAGAAGTATCTTGAATATTGAAAGCAAACTTTGGACAGAGAAATTCAAAGACCCATTTTGCATTGATGTAAATGTCTAAAGTAAAGAAGAGCATTAGGAATATAACACAAACCTACCTTCAGATTATAAAGGAAAAGTTAATTGTTATATTAAGGACATATTTTAGTATAAAATACTGGTTAAAGGACATATTTTAGTATAAAATACTGGTTATAGATTTGTATGACCTTGAATGAATTTTTTTTCTGAATATTTGCTTATTAATTTTACTCCTTAGAAAAGCAATATGATATATTAAAATTCTTTCTAGCATGCTTTACAAATTATTTCTCACGATTATTTTTCTTTCTTGCATCTGCCAACATAAACAATAAAAGTCACAACAAAACCTTTCCAATTCCATTCATGAGTTCATGACAGACTCTTCCCCTACCTTGCTTATGGTTTCATGAAGGTTGAAAAAAGGATCCATTTCTTCAATTTTTGTTGCATCTTTAGGAAAAACGGCCTCAGAGAGAAAACTTGGACCCTGTGGCAAATCAAAAAGGAAACATTTAAAACTCACCATTGATTTTGTTTTTCAAGTGCTTATTGGATTTTCTTTAAAGATTCAAAGTGACTCTAAATTGCTTTAAGGTTCCTGTTGATTGTTGAACTTCATTGTACTGATCTAATTATCCATCACTGAATATTTGTAAATTAAAATGAGTAGAATTCTATAAACCTTGACATTGTTTGTATTTACAAAATAATGTTATTTTAGCAAGAGAGATTATTCTTAACATTCTGTCACCCCTTTCCCCTGAAATGCAGATATATATGTATCCGTTTTGATTACAAAAGACCTATTTGAAATTCTGTTTTAAATTTAGAATTTTCTGTTTTAAGACAGGTGGAACAGAATGGTTTTGACAAATATGATCACCTGTAATATCTTAGACAAAGTGTATATAATATTTCAAATATTTTCAAACTACAAAATAATAGAAAGATGAATTGGGGGTAGAAATCCCATATGGATATTTGTGCTGCCATTAAAATGGTAACACATAGTATTAGAAGTTTAGTGTTAAGATGATTGAAATGAATCAGACATACTCTAATTCATTTTGTGGTTACATGTGCAATCAGATTTTAGGATGCAAAAAATATATGGAATGATGATGATATTACTACCAAAATCAATGTTATTAGATATATCAACAAAATCATCATCCTATAAAATTATTCTTATTTACAGTAATAGCTTTTTACTTGAAAACCTGAAGGAACTAGATTATTTGGCTAGAAAGTAGAATACATGGGGCTTGATAAATGAAGCTAGATAGACAAATAGACTTAGAGACCAATGAATTAATAATCTTTCTGGAGACAATCATGGAGAAGAAAGATTCAAAGCAATCTACAACAACAGTTACAGCAGAGTAACAAATTTAGGCTAAATTTTATTATTCATTGGAGCTATCCAGCAGCAGAACAAATTACTTTGGGTTATACCAATCAATGGTGGGGAAGTTAGGATTATGTAATTGAAGCTAATATAGATGAGGACTGAAATCAACTGAATCCCAAGTTCTTATGTATTAATCAATTCTGTGACAAGGTATATGATTTACTCCCTATGTACAAAAACACTGAAATCAGGCAAAATTAACCTGACTGCTCCAACATATTCCCAATTTTAAATAAGACCATGAATCAACCAATGGTGTTAGTACCTATCAGGATTAACAGTTTGTTTAACGAAAACATGTTTCATGTTCCTCTTTTCATTTGTCCACTAATCTAAAAACTGTCAGAACATCTGCTCAGTCCCAACCAGTACTCCACTTTGTAAAGTCTTACCATAAAATTCATATGACCCATGCCTAAAATTTAATAAATAATCTTTCCTAATTTCCTCATTCAGAAAGCCTGCTAAGACACAGTATTATGGGTTGAATCGAATCCATTAAAAATGTACATATTAAAGTCCTACTCAGAACGTGACCACATTTAGAAAATAGCTCACTGCAGATGTAACTGTAACTAGTTAAGTTACAGTAGGTCATATAGGAGTGGTAATTGTCCCTGATGCAATATGACTATTGTCTTTTTAAAAAGTAGATATTTGGGGACAGAATTACACACAGAGAGAATATAATGTGTACATGAAGTCAGAGACTGGGATCATGTATCTACATGTCAAGGAATACCAAAGGTGTTGCAAGAAAACTCACAGAATCCATGCAGGAGGCAGGGGAACTGGTTCTCTCTCACATCTCTTAGAAGGAATCAACCCTGACAACAGCCACAACGGTAGACAATGCATTTCTATTAATTTACCCTGTTTGTGGAACTTTGTTACAGTAGACCTAGCAAACTACCAGGTCACATTCATTCTTCAATAGGCAATAGACCTAATAAACTTAATTTTGCTTATCAACACATTTTTAGAGATATTCTGGGTAGTCAACCTAAACGTTGGATGAAAGTTTAATTTTTCTACTTCATTAGCTGGGTATATTATTCTCTAAAGGATAAGTTACCTCATATAAGAAACATGGAAAATATTATATAGTTCAGAAATGTGTAAGTTCTTGGGTGCCTGGAACATGGAAACACCACATTTGTGGCACTGTTGATGTGCTAAAACCCACAGATACCACAATAATGAAAGGGAGGTAGAGACTGATGGTAATATGAGCATTACTAGCTTGTCAAGGACATTATACAGAGGATTTCTCATTATGGTAGGATGGTTGAATTAGAGGGAATCCATGATCTTATGAGGGACAGTAAGCAACTCGCTTTTAATTATATTTATTTTCCAAATGGAGATCATTTTGAAACTACATTAGTGTATGCATAACATGGATAATCTGTTGCATTCATTTTCACTTTATAATTCATCTTTGATGTCCTTAAAAGTTTGCCACACAAATAGTTTTAAATGAACTTCTTGAAGTGTTTTTATCTTATTAGCTTACTTAAAAAAATAACACTTCATAAATATTGCATAGGTAAAATATCTGCCAGCCTCAAATTGAATGATCCCATAAAGATGTACGCTGGGAATTATAATTACCGCCATTTTTATTGAACTTTCAATTATTCAGTGGCAAACCCTATTAATTTAAATTATAAATATGTTCCTTATTCTCTAATGCAGTTCCTTTATTTGTCTTGCTCCTTCATTTATCTTTTAATAGACTACTCTTCTTTGTGTTTTCTACCTCACTTATATAATAATTTTAAAAAATATTCATTTAACACTTACTATGTTCCAGGAACTGTGCTAAATGCAGACCATAGTCCTTAATCTTATGATGTTTAATCTACTGAGATCTGAACATAAAAAAGATCAAACTTTACTTTGTTCAAAACAATAAGACAAAACCACTACTTCATACACATGTGAACATAACAATTCTGTTTAATAAATAAGTATTTATATAGCCTTACAAAAATAATGCAATGATTTAAAAGAAGAAAATACACTTTATGAAAATTTTCTACTGCTATTATATTAACTGTACATGATTACTATTTAATAGTATTTTATATTCACAGAGACAGGGAAGTAAAGCAATATTAACCACTAAGAAAGTGTTTTGTTTAGAATAATTCCTTCATGGACTGAAATCAAGCAATTCTTGAACAAATATAGACTGAATGCCACTTGGAGATCATATTAGGAATACTGCAGAAGAATAAATATTGACAATAAAACTTTTTCTGAGATGTGGGGTAAAATTCAATTTGCCTCCCATATCCCCTAATTATGTCTCTTTTCTGTAACATTTATCAGTATTTACCAATTCTCTTGTTTGTACTCTATGATTTGACTTTCCTCATTCTTCATTTGCATATTATTACCTTCCTATAACTAGATTTTCTTTGTTCTTTTGAGTCTTTATGTTGTTCTTAGTATTAATCAATCATTTGTTTACATAAACTCCCTAGGTGGAACTGTCTGCTTGTCTGGATTCACCTATCAACTTCAAATTGATAACTCCCATATCTTTATCTCTATGCCTGATACCTGTTCTCAGTTTATAATTTCTGTTTATCCACAAGACCATTCAAACACATCAATGTATAATGTTCTGAACCAAGATCATGTGTTCCTTCATTGTAGCCTTCATTTCTTATCTTGTATGATAGCATACATATTTTTCAAAATATGAAAATCTATGCCATTCTTGATTCCAATTTCCTTTACCATCTGAACCATAGAATTACACTATGGTTGAACAATCATCTACAAGTTCTTACCTCTGGTCATAACCCAGTTATATATAACCTACAGCCAACTGTGCTTCCTGTTATCTAGATGTGCACCCAATTCATCAGTATGTCATTTCACAACCAAGTCCAGTCATATTTTTCTTCTTTAGACTTTAATCATTTCTTTTTCTCAAAACTCTTTTGTACCATTTTTATATTGTTTCTGCTTCTGCTGCAACAGGGTATTCACCAGCTCTACCCATACTTGTAATATCTCTGCTTTTTTATTTATGCTATTTCTTATTCTGCCTAGAATGGTCTTTTATCTCTCATCTGTTTACCAGACTTCATCAGATTTTTTTCCCTGATCCTCAAGATCAAGCAAACAAACAAACAAACAAAAAACCCGTACAAAATTATTCTGTAAGGAGGAAGAAGTGACTCTAATGGTGAATGTGTTTGATATTTATCACTCTGATCAAGAATTACTTTTCTATGTAACCAAGAATTATAGTTGGTTAAAATTTTTAATTACTAAAAATCAGCCTCTACATATTGCATTCTATGTGAAATTTTGCTTTTAAGATGTACAGTTCTTAATGTTTGAAAACTATTGTGGCAGGTGACAAGAATTAGGGGTAAAGTATTTGTTGAGTGAAACAGTAATTTTTTTTTTCAGGTTGCATTGACAATAGCATATACCAATGCATAAATTTAAGATATATGCTGGGAAACAAAAATTTAGAAAGAAGCATATTTCATTAATATAGTGAGAAAGAACAAGAGACTAAAACCAAAGAGAGATGTTAGAGAAAGTGATGAGGAGATGGGTTTGGTAAATGTTTAATAACTGAAATTAGCAATATTGGAAAATAATTGGATGCAGAAATCTTAAAAATAAGTCAAAATTTCAAGTGTTTCTATGTTTGATAGTATGAGTAGATAGAAATTTGTTAATTTAGAAATTATAGAAACACCTGAGGGGTTGGGATAGAAAAGTCATCTAATTTTAAATATTGAAGGTAAGATGTTTGTGAGACACTCCAAAGAAGTCATCTAAAAGTGAATAACAATATTGGTCTGAAGTTCAGACCAAATTCTGGATTTGAGACATAAAGATAATTTAGAAATATGTACATGGTAGCTAAAATGTAATAGCATAGAACACGTTTTGAGTAATTAGAAAAACTACTCTGAATAACACCAATGTTTAAGAGGTATGAGGATAAAGTATAATTTGTTGAAAATGTTATGGATGAAATCATCAGAGAAGTGTATGGAGAACATGCAGTTTTGATGTCATGGAAGGTAGAAAAGTAG